CGAGGGAATAAAGATACAGAGGAAGACATAAAAACGTGGGTAAGTACTCACTTCAGTAATTTGGTGTTTGACATGATGAGCTCCTTCCAGTTCACAAAGATCAGACCCATTTCTCCTTCTGTGAGACAGCCCGAATCAGCCATAGGTTTTTGGAAAACCTGCACTCAAAACATCAGGAAGGTGAGCAATTCTTCAGGGACCAAAGCAGCTCAGCCTCCCTGTGTAGCCTGCAGGGATTCTGCTTTATTTGAATGCTTAGTGTCCAGTCCCTCAGAAGTTAAGAGCTACTCCTTCCGAGCACTCCTGAGAGCCCCCGCTGCTCTTCCTAAGTGTGTGACCTCATTTTGGCACTGGAATCACCAGCTGCAAGGCAGGGACAAGCACTGGGACCTGCAGGCTGACTGTTGAGCAGGAGAACACTCCTGTGACTGCAGAGTCAGCTGCTACACCAATCACACAGATCACACCTATCGTGGTCAACCTGCGTGCAGAACTACAGCCTCTTCTGGGGGCCCTTGGCACAGAACCTCTGGATAGCAGGGTCCTTGTCTAACTCAGTCTATTTAATGTCTTTAGCACTTCACACAGTCATTTTATATAAAGAGGTCAAGTCAGATGCCCAAGAGCACCTAATACTGGCCAGATCCTGCCCCAGCCTCAGGAGATGCTTTTGCTTCCAGAACTAAAATTGGAGATGAAGGTAGATGATAAACTTTTATGTTGCTTATATAGCTTCTCTCATGAGCCTGTGCAGCTTTCCTAGATGCCTTGGCCCAGACCAGCATCTTTACAATGAGCCAAAACACCAAAGAACAGGATTTGGAAAAACAGAAAGGTCCTTGTAAGAAGAAGGCTTCCACAACGAGATGTTTTTGTCTGGTGGACAATCACATAACCATTTGCTAGAAAGGGATGTGTTCACACACCTTTCTTCCCTAAGTGTTTCACAGTTCATAAGAAACCCTTTATTGTTATCATTCAACAGGACAGAGATGTTCTTCTTCCAAAAATTTCAGTTTTCACATCCAAGACATCTCACCTCCAAGACGAGCTGAAGATCATCCATGTACCTTTCTTCTGTCTCATTCAACAAGACAGAGATCTTCTTCTTCCAAAAATTTCACATCCAAGACATCTCACCTCCAAGACGAGCTGAAGATCATCCATGTACCTTTCTTCTGTCTGAATGAGCTCATGAATGTAGCCCTGCCTCTTCCTTTCCATTGGCTGCATGGTGTCAAGGCTTTGGAGATCAGCACACCCTACAAGAAGCAAGCCAGTAGATTAGATCCCACTCAGGCCATCAGATCTGGTGAATTAACAAAATTGTATCAGTTCAGACTACATACACCGTTGTAAAATCCTGTCCACAAGCAGCAGCAGGTTTCAAAACCAAGGGAAGTGGTGATTGACTTCCTCCCCTCTTTATGTCAGTTTTCAGTCTATCACCTTTTTATTTCTCAGAACATCCTTTGTTATTGTACTGTGATGCAGAATAAGAATTCCCAACCTCCTGCCACTCCGTTTGTCTCGTGATTTTTCTCATCTCTTCTTTTCTGCCACACTATTTTGAAAATGTGATGTTTCTCTTACCTTAGGCAATGTCTTTTACCAGACAAAGTAATCTCAAATGTGTCTGGTTCTGACTTAGGACATTGCACCTTTAATCTCCACCCATTTCTAAAATACTCTGCCTTGGTTATTACCTTCTGATACAAACCACCAGCACAAACTTGCAGAGTTCTGCAGCTATGACATTATGCATTATAACTTCAAAACTGCAGGACATTCTTTCTCATTTAGAAACAAAATAAGCTGGAAATACGTTGAACTATTTTTATGTCCCAAGTATGAATAATCAAAATAATGCACAGGAACACGCAGACATTCAATGAGACAAACCCCAGGTCTTCTACAGTAACATGCAGACCCTACAGCTTCATGCTGCTTTTTCTCTGCTGTATGTGTTAGTGAGCATGGCAACATTTGAAATTTAGCCACCGAATCAAAACTGAGTAAAAACAAAGTGGGATGTTTGGATGGGTAAAGGAGAGCACAGAAAGTCAAACTCAGATCCTTCTGTTAGCAGTCAAGGTGCTAGCAGAGTACTGCCAAGTACTAAAGGTGAAGACAATTGCAGAGTGTTTGAGAACAAACACCAATCATTTGATAGGGTGGCATCAGATTTAAATCCAGTGTGAACTGTGGGTTTTGCAGGACAGCAGAAAGGACATCACAGGGAATCATTTTGATCTGGCATTTCTAGAGAAATTATACTTTCTGAAAGTTTATAGGTGGTGTGACCTACAGCACAAAGGGCTGTGTCCCTCATCACCCCAACGCATCCAGGACACTACAGTGTGACTTTGTTCACTGCCCATGTGCACATCTCCTTGTGGAAAGGCTGCTCTACACAGTGAAACGAGTTAGTAACAAATAGGGGGGGCAGGAACCCAAGAAACACTAAACATTTGGCTGAACTTGATGTGACAGTGGCCTAATGGGAACCTCACAGGCTTGTGTGCTTCCTGCTGGACAGTCACTGAGCTGCTCTGACGGAGCAGCACCCTGCAGCCAAGGGAAAACACTCATCAAATGAAGTTTTATGATACCACTCCAAGTATTTTAACAGGGAAGCCCTTTGAACAACACAAAGATGTAAAATAGTAGAGGCAATAGCTAAGTTTAAAATCAAGACTTTGCAGTTCTGCTTTGTACCCCTAAGCAGGAGCAGAGGTCTTAGGCTTTCTGACAAGATTTGAATAAAATGCCACTTTTTACCAAGAGACAGACAACTGCAGCTCTTTTGATCATGCAGAATGCTGCTTCTGGCCTTAATTATTTTCCAAGTTACAATCAGGCCAAGACTGGCTGGGAAGAAGGAGGAAAGTTACTGATTGAAGTATCTCCATCCAAGATGGACTGTGGCCAATGTGTGCTACTGGATTCTAGTGTCATTCTTTAGCCTATACAGGACTGAGTTTAAGCCCATCTGGTTCCTAGGACGTTTTAGGATAATCAAGGGCTTGCCCAGTCACCAGATTTTATTTGTCCAGGTTTGGAAGTCTCAGCTTTGACCACATGGTTGTCTATTCTACAGCCAGGTACACTCCTACAAGAGCAGGGGTGGACTGAAGCTCTTGTTCCTGTTTGCTTGCATCACAGCTGAGAGAACAACCCATATCCATGGGTTTGGGTCTGTCTGATGCTGCCTACTTAAAGCTGAAGCAAACACAGGAAGGAAAACAGGCCCTTTTTTAATGCACCTAAAATAATTTGGTTTATAAGCTCATTATCAGACACAAAAATGTAATTAAATCACCTGGCTCCTACATTAACCTTGTATTTGGAGTGTCAGGTTTGGTCTGACCACATGAGTGCTGTTTTATATTTAAATGAGCACCAGTGAAACCCCTGGTCTGATGATGCTGAGGTAAAGACACAGCACACAATTCCCACATCTGATTTTAGAGGGTGAGCTCAGGCACTTGCATCTGCAGGGAAGAAAGGTGACAGAGACTGAGAACAGAACAACCTACCTAGTGCCTTTGCCAGGGTTTCTCCAAAGTGGCCACAGCAACCCATGGGCTCATTGGTATGGAAGGGGTGGACCTGCAAGTCTACCCATTCTCCTCCCACATTCCTGTTCCCTCCTCTCCTTGCATCAATTCTGGTACTTTTCTGACTCCCAGCAAATGAATCCCGAGGGGGGAAAAAGAAAACAGTAGTTTTCTGCTAGTTTAGCAGCCAGGAATGTGTGTGGAAGCTGAAAAACTGCCTGTGTGGGCAGCAGAAAGATGTTGGTTTGGCTTCTGCCTTCTTGTGAAGCTTCACCCCAAGCTCCCCACACAGCTAATGAAACACAGGGAGATTTTTGGGAGCACCTGCAGAGGGGATTCTCAGCTGCCCACGCTGAAGGCTCACTTCCCTCTGCTGCCTAGATAGAGGTTGGCTTTCTCTTTGGAGGGCCAGCCCTCCCACCTCTTCCACCCAGAGCAGGGTGCTGCCAGGCTGGTTGGACAGTCTGGAGCATGACCTCCTGAGCTTCCCCCCAGGAACAGCTAAGGAGCAAGCAGTGGGTGGCTGCTGCCTTTGAAACTCTGGGCACAGCAGGAGAGCACTGCCTGCTAGAGCTGTGGTACCTCTTGTGGCAGATCCTGCTCTCCAACAGAAGGAAGCAGCTGTCTCACAGGGCAGGATAAAACAAGCTGGAGTTTATAAACAGGAAATCCCAGTCTCTAGAGCTGGGCTTAAAATTATACTTCCCTCTCTAAATATACCTGAACAAGAAATCTGAATCTGAATGGGGATCATCTGAAGAACCTGAAAGT